GTAGGGGAATAATGTAATGGATTTATAGGTTTTAAATGCCTTCCCCAAACTGCTGTGCAGGCTGTCACTAAAATGGAAAATAGATATAAGGTTGTATAATGTATCCACAAAGTAGTGTGTGATTTAACAGCAGCTCTTACCATTTGCATGGGAACAGGCTGCAATTGCTAAAATCAGAGGGGAAGCTTAAAGTCCTGATGGTTGATGGTGGATATGGTTGTAAAGAGCAAAATTCTGCTCGCTGGGGTTGATTAATTCTACATGGCAAAAGATATAAGATGAAGTGCTCTGCATACTGGGATCAACTGGTGTGGGAAGAAATATAGGAGCTTTTTTTTTTTTTTTTTGCCTTGACTGGCAAGCTCTCAGTCCTGAGACACTGGAGTTTGCTGCCCTCAGTTTTAGGGTTCTGAACACACAAAATCCTGACAGCTCTGTTCCCCCTCAGTGGGAAAGCTCACTGGAAGGTATCGAATGTGTGGGAAGGCTGAATGGATATATCAGCTGTGCTTTGAGCGGAATATTCTGTCCTGTTAATTTATTTACTTAGGAGGATTAAAGAGAATTTGAACAGCCATCCAGGGGTCCCAAAGGATTTTAGTAGTGGAGGGCAAGGGCCATTTCAGTGAAGTCATGAGATCTTTATCATGGTTTGTTCTTGTATTAAGCTTGTGGCCTTGTGATTGTGCCATAATATGTCCTTCCAGAGGAACTCCTAAAACCAAAGTGTAATTTATCACTTTGCTTGATGGTCCATTTCACTGTTTAATTACCACATTTTTAACAATATGAACCCTCTTTTTGTACAGGGATCTTTTTAACCTCTAATTTTCAACCACACCTGATGATAATTTTATTTCAAAAAGCACAGGACAAAGCCTTCTCTTCCCTCACTGTGCAAAGAAGGAGTAAAATTCACCAAACTTGTCTGGTTGCAAGAAATCCTCTGGGCTTTTGGAAAAATCCAAGTGGGTTAAGGGGGGATTATTTTTGTTATTTTTTTAATTATGTGTTTTCTTCTGAAGAAACATTTGCAGTGGAAAATAACCTTGTGCTTCCTAGTTTAGTTAATTCCCCTGCTGTGGTCTTTCCCTTCCCCGTGAAAGTTTTATAAGCCCTTGTAAGAGAAGTTTTGCAGACAATGACAGTTAGCAAAGCATTCCCATCTCCCTGGCAAATTGTGTTAAATTGGGCTCTGTGAAGGAGAGAAGAGCTGTGCTTAAGCTCTCAATATTATATATCTACATCCCTGTGGTGGTTAACACAGCTCGGTGATTTCAAGGAGTTAATATTCCAAGGTTTAAAATGGGTGAAAAACAGAAAGAAGGATGGAATAAGAGGGGATGCCTCTGGTTAGTGGGGCACTGGCATAGTTTGGATGCTGTATCACGTATTTATATAGATTATAAAGGATATAAATAATTAGGATCCAGCAGTGAACTCGCTAACAATCCCATTTCTTACAGTGATCTGTTCTTATTTGATTCCCCACAGTCTATCACAGCAATTATATATCACTGAACACCTGTAAACATGTAAAGCCTTCTCTGATCGCTTCCTGTAGACTTGAACTTGTACTGTTGACTTGGTTTACACTTTACACAGAATTTGGACTCATGTAGCCAAATTTTGCAGAGGATTTGAATCCTCTGTGCTCCTCCTGAGTGTGTGATTCCTGTCCAGCTGGGAGGCTCCTGGGCTCAGTGCTCTGTCCCTCCTGTGCTGGTGGGAATGTGCCTGTCCTTTATCCTTCGGAGTTCCTTCACCATCTGACGTGCTGATTTCTCCAGATTTGCTTCTCTCATTGCTTCAGTTTGAGAAGTGTTTCATGAGCTCCATGAAGGAGATTCCCAGGAAGATTTAGGATTTTTTAATGTGTATTTCTTTGCCTGTTTTTGCTGTGTTTGGAACCATTGTAGTGTTGGCCACTAAAACCTTCCTTGGGATCATTAAGTTCCGCTGGAACCAATATGTAAACTCTCCATTCCATATGTAAACATGGGACAGACATTCCAGTTTGTAGAGGAAAGGCAACTTTCCACTTAAGGCAGCGCCTGGTGTGCAGGAGATAACAGGAGGGTGGTTAAAAAACATAGAGTTTCAGTCCTGTGAGAAATTTCCTCATCTTTGTATTTGCATTTATTCTACATCAGAGTGCAAATAAATATTTTCAATATTTCCAGTTAGAATTATATTCTCAAATATATTTCTGAGTATTTTCCTGTTTGTTTTCTTTGTAGGTTTTTAAGCATTTAAATTATTAATATTGTTTCTTTTTCTTTTTTCCCCAGAAAGCACAAGTATTAGATGACATGGCTTGTCTTTAAAATAGATTTTTTTATTATAATTTAGAACAGCTGCTTTCTAGCGATTGAGTCATCTCATTTTTTTAGATTAGAATCTCTTGTTTGTTTTGTTATGAAATGCTTTGACACTTGGAACAAGAAATTAAGATAAATACTCAGCATAGGAACCACAAGAGCAGGTGTTTTTTTTTCAGCATCCTTCTTGTTCCAGGAAAGTATTTCTTCTCCAGACATGTTTTTGTGCTTTTATAAATGACTCCAAAGTTTGAAATTTCCGTGGTTTCTTCTTGAAAATTTTTCACTCTCTAGTTCCCCGCAGTTTCCCTTGCTTCAGAAAATTTAGTTTAAATCAGTTAAGAGGAGTGGCAATTTCTTAATGTCTTCCTTTCAGCTGGTTATAATTTGGTGCAGGATACACTTACATATGAAAAAGAACATATAAGTGATGTATTGCAGCATCTTTATTTCTCCAGGAGAAATCTGATGCAGGGACGTGGATTCACACAGATCCATACGGTGCAGCTCAGATACTCCAGTGAGGAAGTACCACTGACTGGAGGTGATGGTGGCACACTGGGAGGAGTGTTGCTGGGATAGATGGGGAGCCTGAGGCTGGCAGAGCATGGATTGTGCCAGGGCAGGAGGGAGCAGCCATCCCCCTCTGCAGGAGATGCTGCTGGCAAGGGCAGCTGGGATGCAGCTGAAGTGGCAGCTGCTGCAGCTCAGCTGGGAGGTCCGTGGAGGGATAGACTGAGGCAGAGCTCTCAGATGTTAATCCACACTCAGGGTAGCATTAATATCCAAGAAACAGCAGGTATCTCACTTGGCAGAGAGAAATGATGGTGATTTTCCCTGAGCTGGGAGAGGGTTTGCCTCCTTTTCCAAGTGGAGGGCTCTGTGTTCAGGGCTGCTTCAGCTGCTTCACCCGGGGCTTTGCTGCTCGACCATCAGCACTCAGCAACCACAGAAATCCAGAGTCCCTCAACCACAGAAATGTGTCACAAGTGGCAGTGTGGAGACTCCCAGCTCATGGTGGTCATGACAAGGGGCATCACAGAGGTGGGCCATGGGCTCTCCTGCAAGTGTCTGTGTACACTTTCCTCCCCACTTCAGCCCCTCTTGAGGGAGGCAGAGAAGAGCTCGAGGCTGACTCTGCTGAGAGCAAGAACTGGTCACTGTATTTCTTACAGTGATCTGTTCTTATTTGATTCCCCATGGTCTGTCACAGCAATTATATATCACTGAACATCTGGAAGTTAAACATATAAAGCCTTTTTTCATCGCTTCCTGTAGACTTGAACTTGTACTGTTGACTTGGTTTACATTTTACACAGAATTTGGACTCATGTAGCCAAATTTTGAGATTTGAATCATCCTCCTGAGTATGTAATGTCTGTCCAGCTGGAGGCTCCTGGGCTCAGTGTTCTGTCCCTCCTGTGCTGGTGGGAATGTGCCTGTCCTTTATCCTTCGGAGTTCCTTCACCATCTGACTGTGCTGGCACCATCAGTCTCTTATTTATCCTGTTATTATTAAAACCTCCCTTTTTTAAACATTGGGTATTTATTTTTCCTGAAAATGCAACATTTTCCTCCTGTCACGAGACAAGCGACTTAAAAATTTTCAAAGGCTCTTTCAAGCAAAGCTGGGAATTAGATTCTTGTGGAGACCTTCATAAAAAATTGAAGACTTCGTGTATTAACATACATTGATTTATTCATAGTGTTTCATTACAAATAAGCGAGGATCCCATAATATCAGGAAAGGTTAGGAGAGCAGCAGAGCACAGTGTATTATATTGACAGCTCTACTGAAACTGAGCTGCCTTTGGATTGAATTTGGAAGGCAGGCAAGGAATTGGCTGGTAAATAAGTCATGAGTTTTGCTTGCAAGTGTCTGTATATCCAGAGGGTTTCCTTGGGTGGGATGATGGAGCTGGAGCAGGATTTCAAAGGCGTGTTTGCAGTGTGGATTCCTCTCCAGGTGTGCTGGCACCAGCTACAGGTGTATTCCTGACACCTCTCCAGGTCCAGAACCCTCCTGGCTTATTCTCTCAGGTGTAAACCACATGTAAATCTGCACTCCGAGGCTCAGAGTGAGGGGAGGGAAAGGATGTCAGTGACTGGCTTACAATAAAGGCAAAAAGAAGGGCTTTTATCTAAAGACTTGGTGATATTTATTTCATTTAAATGTACAATTTCATTTCAGCGTGTTCTCTCAGCACAGGAAAAGACTTACAAAGCCTTTGTTGCTGCCATTGTTTTCAGCTGCCTTATGAGAAGATGATTTGCCAAAAGAAAATGTGCTAAAGATGATTTTCCAAAGGAAAATGTATCCATGTTTGCACCGAGGGTTTTCAGATGCTGTGGGGGATTGTGTGGGAAATTCTCCTGGTAATTGTGCCGGTCATGCTGTGTGCTCTGATTTGACTACAGAAGTTCTGAGATTTGGAACAAAAAAGCAGTTCATTGCATCTTTTGTTGTAGATCAGCCCATGCTGAGGTTTGAGTGGAGAGAAAAGATTAGTTTTTCCCTAAGTAAAATTGCCACGTTGGGATGCAAATACAGAGCCGCTCACCAGAGATACTGAAATTATCCCTGCCCTTGTGTTTTCAATGTCTGATTTCAAGAGATGGCAAACAGGGGAGCAAAAATAGGCCCCTTATCACCTTGCTTTCCTTGTTCCTCATTTGCAGATTACATACAAGGCCGTTGGATCCCTGGATCCCAGTGCTGACCTGTCCAGCCAAAGGGGGAAAGTCTTCAAGCTGAGGAATGAGACCCACCACCTGTTTGTAGGATTATACCCAGGGACCACATATTCCTTCACCATCAAAGCCAGCACAGTCAAGGGCTTTGGGCCACCCATCACCACTCGGATTGCAACTAAAATTTCAGGTACTGCTTTGAAGAAATAAAAAATAAACCACTTTCCAGTGCTTTGTTCTTTAGATCTAAAGCTGGTGCATAAAACAATTAAGAATATTCAGCTCAGTGTCTCTCCCAATTTCATAGGGCAGATTTTTAAACCTGTGTTTGATCTGGCAACAAATGCAGTGGTTAATTTGTGGGTATCTTAAATAGCCATGAATGTTTTTGTGGAGTGTTTTAAATGAGAATCATCATTAGTTGTACAAATGACCTACCTCTATAATAATTATTGTCAGCATTATCTGCCTGGATGGGGAAGCTCCTTCAGTAATGTGGTTTTTATTTTCAGAATGCACCAAGATGGATGTAATGAAGCAATGGAATTAATAGTGCAGAGAGACTAAAAATAAAGGAGGAAAACTGTTTTCATTGGGGTTTTTATGAGTAAGAGCAAAGGGAGGGCTCGAGGCAGGCAGACAAGAATATGAAAGGCACTAAAATAAGGAGGCATTGCAAAGAGGACATGTGAAAAAACAAAGAGGAGACTTAGGCTAGTTATCAGAAAAGGGATGGTAGAGGTGATATTGGGCAGATATATGTTGATTTTAATTTTAACATTTAGTTGATTGCACTAAAATAGCTTTTCTAACAGAGAGAAGCGCTGACATTTTTTTGAACTACCTTAACTGGTTTTTTTTCCAGTAAAGCCAAAATAAACATTTGGGACATTCAGGACACTTGGAATGCTTAAAATTAGGCCTGAGTGCTGTAGGAAAGAGGGCACAACAGCATGTGTTTTCCACTGCCCTTTTTCAAAATTGGTTAATAAAAGCAAATTGTGAGCAATAAGTGACAGGGTAAACTTGAAGGAAGTAAAATGCATCCCCTTCTTCTGCTGGCCATCTGCAGGGTTTGAACCCTTAACATTTAGTCCAAAAGCCCTAAATTACTTGAAGTAAAGCCATTAAGTGTCCAAAGAACTGCATGGACTGTTGGGGTTTGTGCAACCCTGCTGTGAAGGGACAGCACTGTATGTACTCTATTCCTTTGTGACCAGAGAAGTAAAATAGCTCAACAATGGTAGTGCTTTTCCCCTCTGATTCTCTTCCTTTGAATTTTATTATTCCATCATAAGTGCTCAAGTTGTGTTGGAAGCCTGCATGACTACTACCTGTATGCACACTTGGTTTATTGTCTTTTTTTCCTGCCACCTTTGGAATACCTGGCTCACAATAGCTGGGTGCAAACTCCGTGCAAGCATTAGGATAGTCTCTGACATTGGATTATCTCATTGCATGGTCCAGTTTGTGACATTTGCATTTTCCAAGTGATTTGGAAATGACTGTTAAAGTTGCTCTAAAAGGCAGTCTCAAGGTTATTTGGGAGGAGAAGGATTTTTGCACTGACTGGAATGTCCTTGTAAGTCTGTACGTGTTTGAAAACGAAAAGACATCTGTGCTGTAGCAATATGTGAGCATATTTGTTTATATGGGTGGACACATTTGTTTGCATCTCAATCCCAACTGAATAGCAGAATTCCTCAGGACTTTTCTTTGGGCAGGAAAACAGGCATTCATTCATCTGATGAGCAGGGCTTGCTATTTTAGGGACATCTCTGCCAATTGTGGGTTGAGTGAGGTGCCACACACCTGTTTTGTGTGGAGCACACAAGAAAACTACTGTATCTTATTCTGCTGTCCTGTGACTAGCACAGACCAGGATCACTGGGTTATTTATACTCCATACCCTTAACTGGGCCTGGCAAGACCTATTTCTTCCATTTACTTTTCAGCTATATAGTGTCTGACAGTAAGATTATTATTGTCTGTGGCAGGTGCAGTGATCACACAGTGGGTGACTGAACAGGTCTGAGAGGTGTCCAAGGTAGCCAACAGCTAATCCAGAAACAATTCAGTGGCACCAGTGCAGTGCTGCACTTGGGGCAGAAGCTTCAGAGCAGAATGGTGGAGGCTGCAAAGGCAGAGCCCAGCCTTGCTGTGGTGTCCAAACTGGCCTTGCCACCTCCAGGCAGTGGCTGCCCCATCCCTGGGAGTGTCCCAGGCCAGGTTGGACAGGGCTTGGAGCAACCTGGGCTGGTGGAAGGTGTCCCTGCCCATGGCAGGGGGTTGGAACAAAAGGATCTTTGAGTTCCCTTCCAACCCAAATCAGTCTGTGATCTCCAGCATCTGTGGTGATCTCTAGTACAGAAGACCACTGGTGATATGTGTCTTCTTTAAATGTCTCACTGCTTCTCCTTGATGCAGAGCACCTTATTTCAGAGAAATCCTCCTGAAGGAGTTGGCATTCATTCTTCCCTGGCTTATTGACAGGGAAGTCAGTAGCTGAGCTGATAATAGCAGCCCCATTCTTGACAGTTTTCAGGCATTTAGATAAAAATCCTGATTGTAAACAGGATTAAAGTGGAAATCACCATGAGAGGATTAAATATGGGATCCCCCACAGTGCAGCCTGCCCTTGTGAGTTACAGGTGAACTATTTGTGTGAATTCTTCTGTTTGCTTTGTACTTTAAAGATACTTGAACCAAACTTGCATCTTTGGAACAGACTTGATACTGCTCTGACCTCGTGATCTCTTCAGTTCTTACACAGTAAAATTTGTCCCAAATAGATGAATTTGTCCCAAACAGGAAGGAAAAAGTAATAAGTAAAGTGTGTTTCCTAAGGAAAACTTCTACTTTCATGGAATGACCCTAAGAGAAGATAACAAAGCAGGAGTAGAAACTAAAGTTTGGCTGAGTGTGAATATTCCTTGGGTTTCTGTATTGCTTTGGAAAACATGTCAGGGAAGGGATGGGGATGCCATGACTGGGAACTGCCTGAGGGCAGCCCTGGAATCTGTGCAGCTGCCTGTTGAGTCAGCATCACTAAAGCACTGGGGTAAAATGTCACCGGTTTGGGTGCAAAAATAACCTGGCTAATTTGTGCTGCTCTCTTTTCATCTTTTGTGCTCCATAACACACCCTCCAGCTAATCAAGGGGGCACAGCTTAAGTCTCTGTATTAAGAACTCTTAAAATGGGAGAAGGCTAATCCACTGGCCAGAAAAGATTCAGGATTCCTGGGTGCTTTCCTCAGCTCTGCCACTGACTCACTCCTCTTGAGTGGGTTTTTTTATCATGTCTGTTTTTCTTTCTTCCCCTATAAAATGGAAGGAATGATTTCACCTCAAAGCATTGCTAAGTCTTAAAAATTCAAAGCCACCTTGAAGATTTTCAAAGCCAGCTTGAAGATCCAGGGGGGCCAATTCCCATTTAATTTGAAGAGAAAAAGAGCGTCCAAATATTTAAGCAGTTTTGATAACTCTGGTCGTAACACCCGGGAGTGTTTTGATGTTTCATTTGAGAAATGTGAAATGGTCTCCAGGAAGTGTTAACCTAAGGGAGCGAGTGGTGTGTTCCTAACGTGTCCCTGCTCTGCTGCAGCGCCGTCGATGCCGGAGTACGACACGGACTCGCCCCTGAACGAGACCGACACCACCATCACCGTGATGCTGAAGCCTGCTCAGTCCCGGGGAGCACCTGTCAGGTGGGTGTTTGGTCTTCTCTCTTCACAGCTCCCCCCACTCTCCTTCCTCCCCAGGCTTCCCTCACGCCTCTCTCGTTCTCCTCTGATAATGGAGCTGCTGAAAGCCAGCGCTGACTAAAAGGCCAACTCGGCTGTTGATTCTGCCTTTCACAGTCTCCTTTTATAAACGCCTCAGCCTCCTTGCCTCCTGCTGTTAACCTCCAGGAAGGATTGCTGCTGGCACTGTGCAGGGTTATTACCCTCTCAGCAGCACTTCAGATGCCTCTGCAGGGCTGGAGCACAGCAGGACGTGGGGCTGGGCACTGAGTGGTGCTGTGGGAAGGTGGAGGAGGCTCCAGGTCTTCATCCTGCCCTCTCTTCCATGGTGAACAAGGCCTGTCTGTAACTACTGTAGGAATGCCTGAACTGTCTTCAATGCTTGCAGATGCATTTGTGCAGTTTCTGGGTCTGACCTCACTTCTCACACACATAATCCAGCTGTTGCTGCTGGGCTGGTGGTACAGTGAAGGAATGAATCTGGTGCAGAGAAAAGGAGTTCTGATTTAGTGAGGCTTTGCTAGTATAGGTAAGCAGGTCCTGCTGACAGAGCAGGGGATTTACAGAGTTACACAACCACAGAATCGTTTAAGTTGGGAAAGCTTTGACCAATCACCACTTTGTAAACTAGACCAGAGCACTGAGTACCAGTCATTCCTTGGACACCTTCAGGGATGGGGACTCCACAGCCTCCCTGGGCAGCCTGTTCCAGTGCTTGACAACCCTTTCCATGAAGAAATTCTTCCTGATATCCAACTTGAGCCTCCTCTGGTGCAGCTTGAGACCATTTCCTCTTGTCTATCCCTGTGTCCTGGGAGCAGAGCATGACCACCATCTGGCTCCCCTCTCCTGTCAGGGAGTTGTGCTCCAGCCCCTTTCCCAGCTCCATTCCCTTCTCTGGACTCTCTCCAGCCCCTCAATGTCTTTCTCACAGTGAGGGGCCCAAAACTGGACACAGCACTCAAGGTACAGCCTCAGCAGTGCCCAGTACAGGGTGCAGTCACTTCCCTGGTCATCTGGGGGCAGGGAGCTGCCCAGGAACCTGTGGAATAGAAAAAACATTTCTTCTGGCTGACTCTGAGCTGGGCCCTGCTCTTAATGATGAGATGCTGGACTGGGACACTCCCTGACTGTGGAACATGGCTTAGAGGTCTGTGCTTCGTCGCTCTCTTCCATCAGGGTGGATTTGTACATGGAGAAAGGCACCAGCACAGATGAGCAAAGTTCCCTTCCGAGCTGGCACTGCCTTATCTGTCACTGGCAGAAGTGCCAGTTGGCCATTCATCCTTCCCCTCATCCTGCCACTCCTCCTGCCAGGCTCCTCAGCTGAGAGCAGCAACTGGAATCACTTAGAAAAGCAGTGGGTCCTGCTTTGCAGTGGTATCCAGCAGGTATCCATTACCTCCCTGTGGGATCTTCAGGCTTTTACCTCCAGTTTTCACAAGAGACCTTGGAAGCTTTTTCCCTGCCTGGTATTTTAAAAACCTCTAGTTCCTTCTTTCCAAGTGACCTGGGCTTCTGTGCCTCACTGACAGGTTCTTAGTGCTTTTGAAGGATGTATTCAGGAGCAGATTGCTCAGAGGTAAACTGCTGGATTTAATGAAATATCCTACATGGCTTGGTGGTCCAGCCTGTGTCACAGCTTTCCCCCAGATTGCATTGACAGGCTCAGGAAAAAAGTCTGCTCTTTAAGACTTGCACCATCCATTCTCTAGCTTTTCTGAGTAATGTATTTCAAAGTTTCCCTTTCAATCTCTGCTACCCCATATGAGCAAATTTAGGAGCCTATTTTCTGAGTCCTTTAGGGATGTTTTTCTGCTGGAAAAGAGCAGTAAAATCACACAGCTCTGTTTTGTTTTATTTCTTTATATGGGGGAACATTCCTGTATCTCGTTTTACCACCTGCTGTCTTAACAGTGTTGCTATTTTGTCTTTTTATTGAAAAGTCTTGTGATTTTTCTCAAAGTCGATTTACTGCAGTTTAACTGCATTCAGTGAATAATGCCTTTGCCAGCAAATGCATCTGTATATAAAATTGGTAGAGATTTTTTATAAATTTTCACTCAGGTTTCTTTAATTGCATCGTAGCCCATTATACACATGTTTGCAGAGAGGGCAATATTTACATGCCACATCTAAGTGATAAAATTATTTCCTATTATGAGTCCATTTTATTGACTTACAGATGTGTGAATGGAAACCAGGACAGGCAGGGGGAGTAAAGGGGAGGGGGAATTTTAGCTTTTTATTAAATATGACAGCCTGAGAATGCTGGAGTACCTTCCTCTGTGTAACCATCCAGACTGTTCCTAGTCTGGCCTTGACAAATCCAGTTATTCCAACCTTTATTTTCCCAACCTGTTCCCTTTTCTTCCAGTCTGTTCTGCACACTCCCATTTGTGAGATTCTCTCAAAATACCTGTGCAGAAGCAGGTAACATTCCCTCAGAGCAGGGAATGTCAACAGCACCCAGCACATTACAGGAATAACACATGAATAACATACTATGAACTCCTTGGGACACTCTTAATTACACAAGAGTGAGGTGGTGGTTTATCCTCTTCAATGTTTTTAATTGTATTCAAGCTGAGCTCAAATATATCTTCTTTGTTTTTGTCTGGTCAGTTGTTCTGCCTTTTTGTTGTACATGGTTTATTTCTCTTTCACAAGTGTGGTATTTTCCAGTCATGTCTATTAAATGTGATAAAAAAATGTGCTTTAAAAGTCTGCCACAAACTTAAGTGGCTTAGAGCCCCTCAAGGATGTGATGCCATCCTGTGCTCAGGTACTGAAGGCATTAAGACAAGCAGAGATTTAGGGCAATGTCTGAGCAATCTCTGTTGTGGGGCTGGTGAGTTGGAGTGATGTAGGGGTGTGACTCCAAGGTAGTATCCATCTATAAGATAGTTAAGTAACTTTTTCTTGAGTTATTTCCTTCTGCTGTAGCACAGAGGTGGAGCATGGTCTGCAAGAACGTTTTTAGAGTAATACTGTAGGATATTTAAAATAAGACTCGTTGTTTTTTTCATTCATTTGAAAAGCAGACACACCAACTCCAAAGTCACTTTGAGCATTAAGACGTTTCTGATGTTCCCCAGTGCTCGTGATAAATAATTTAAATGTGGTTGTTTATAAAAGTAACGACCATGAACTCGGCATTGTTAATGATCTGTGGGTAACAGTGAAGACACTTTCATATGAACTAATAGCATTAATATAAACTTAGATAATCTTTGATCTATTTTGTCCTATTGCCAAAAGAGAGGTGAAGCCTCAGCAAGCAGAAACGTTCTCCCTTGTGGCACAGGCATTGCATTGGTGCCTTTACTTTTCGTGGTATAACCTGCAGAGCTTGACTCCACATTGCCCTTTAAAAATAACTTTTAGGTGTTCTTATATCAATCTAAACCCCGTGAATGGTGCTGTGATTGATATGCTGAGGGCTGACATTCATCTATAATGCATTCACAAGAGCAAGGAAGAATGCAAGTGTTCTCAATCTTTACTCCTCAGCTCTTTCCTGAAAATCTCCAATGTGATTTTGAGGATATTTCTGCCTTTGAATGTGTTATTGTCAGGAGACTGAGTCAGTCCTGCATAGATTATTCACATATGACATCTTTAGACCTCTGTTTGAGGCTTTATATCCCACTCACTGCTTGGAAGTACCACTGTGAGGGGTTTTATCCACACAACTCGTCCACTGGGCTGGTTTTTGGGTGTTGGATATTTGAAAGTCCATCTGGTTTATTAACACACCGTTGCTTCTATCAGTCTACCTATACTGCTATTATGGAGAAAATCAAATTTCCAGAGCAGGTATTAGTTTAGAGGATTTCAGAGTTGGCATAAATGCTGCCCACAGGTGTGATTGCCATGCCCATACCCTGCTCTGAGTGTTGGAGCCGTAGGACACTGTAGGAGGATGTTAGAGAACAGCCTACATTATGTTTTGGGGGGTTTCAGACAGCAGAGAACTTTTTTGTTGGAAGAAGATGGATTTAATCTCTTTATCTTCCTGCAGTTCTCAGAGATGTGTCAGTAAATAATCTGTGGTGTTCTTTTGTGTGCTGCCAGCACCCAGGTACAGGACAGTCTTTAGGCACCTGATCCCTGCACTGTGTAATATAATTGGAATTATATTACAGTATAATTGTATATTATACATACTATATATAAATTATATACAGTATAATTATATAACAGTATAATTGGAACAATCTTGTTTGACCTTTGCTCTTGCCTTTTTGCAGATATATTTTTTGGGGTGGGGTAGAATATATATATTTGATATATATATATATATTTGATATATATATATATATATTTGCAGTGTAAGTATCATGTGTAAGTGATCCTGGAGAAATATATTCAGGTAGGATCATTTATTGTGAATGCGTGCAATGGTCAGATACTTGCAATCATTTTTGTGAGGAAGGATGGCTTATTTTATTAATGTACATCTGAAAGGAATGAAGTAAATCCAAATAAGAGAATGGAGATTGAAGATTTAAAATATATTTAGAAGTACTGGGCAAAGGTCAAATAAATATTTTCATATCAACACTCAGCCAGGAGGAGAAATTAATTTATATGGACTGAGCCTCATGTACTCTTAAGTATCAACATCTGAGTCTTGGTCTTCTAAGCATGAAATAAAGGTAATTTTTGGTGTCCATGATGTTGAACATATCAAGAGAAAACATCTGTAGTGTTATTTAACAGAACACATGAGAACAATGTTTTTTTTCTGGTTTTATGCCCAAGCTATTCTCTCAGGAAACAATCTTGTAGGATGTGTTCCTACCTAAGTATTCCTACATTCAGTAACAAATGAAGATTTCCTGTGATGGAGGGCAGTGGTTTTGCTTCCATTTTATGTTGGAGAACTGAGATTTTGACTAGCTAACACTTGCCTTTCATTTCCATTGGCAACAAAGCAGAAATTGAGAACGTGTGGAGCC